TGCCTGGAGAATCCCCATGGACAGAGGAGCCTGGCAGGCTACAGTCCATGGGGTCGCAGAGTCAGACACAACTGAACAACTAAGAACAACACATTATATTTTAAAGCTTTAACGAAGTATTCAAGCTTGTTATTGTTGACAGTGTTAATAGTATCTTTCTAATTATTTAATCTAAAATATAGACATTTCTCTATCAATTTTCAAAATAATTACCTCTGGAATATTTGCAAACTATTTCTTGTTATTAGAAATGGTTTTTTTTTTAATTCTACATAATCTTGTTCTGAGTTTTGTTTTTATCACATCTCACACTGTTCATGCTTATTTAACAAAATATTCCCTCCCAGAAGATACTTTTCTGGACCACGTAAAATGCATAGAGTTTCAACTTAATTTTCACCTCTTAGTAATTAAAGTCCTGCACCTTTAGGTGAAACTAATTCTTAACTCTAATAGAAAAAGAATTTAAAATAGCTTATATATTTATGAATAAAGAGAATGAGGCAGTGTAAAAGGAGTAAATGTAGGTTTCTCCAGTTATCCCAAATTTGCTAAAAATTATAATATGACCTTGGATTTGGCTTTAAGTTTTATCAAGGAAAAAGATATTCTGCCACTTGTTAAAATGGTAAGTAAGGCTTCATTCAGGACTATTGTGATAGGTGCCAAAACTATCGAAATAGAAGGGATTAAGAACAACTCTGAATACTATAAGAACAACCAGGGATTTACAGCCTAAGAACAGGTTATGTGTGGGGGTTGTGGATGGAAAATTACTAGACATCAAGTGTAGGGAGAATTCTTGCTAAACTTATTTTAAGAGGTTTCTTGCTGAATGGCAGGCCAGGGTGATCAGATATCAATGATGGGAGATGAAAAATTTGATTAGACGTTGAAAGTGATCACATATCATTGGGGGAGGGGGAAATCCTCTGTAAGCTGACTCAACAGAATTCCTGCTAAAACCAGACACTGCAAAAATGGCACTGAAGCCCAGGGTCAAGGCCTGAATAAGAAGAGTGCTGAGAGAAACTTGACTATAGTTTAGTTAAGGAAAGTTTCTGTCAGTTTCCTACTGAAGAAAGCCAGGGAAGAACATGTCGACATACAGAATTTGCACTGTCCAAAACAGAAAAAAATACCATCATGCTCTGCATTTCCATGCAGTTGAATTCAGTTCTGATTTTATCATTTGGGTTTCAGTTTTTCACAAAGCTACCCTGGGAGTCTGTAGGTAAGTAACTAGCATTAACCAGAGGTGGTGAGGTAATGAGCTAAGGGGATATCTAAGGGTCCTGCAAGGCCAGTGACCTGAAGGCATGCTTTATGTGCTGGAGGAAGAACAGAGAACCCAGTGTGAGTGGAGTGAACTGATCAAAGCAGAGAGAAGTAGAACTTGAAGGAAGAAATATATCATTTCAGATCTTGTAGACTATTGGGAGATTTTCAGGTTTAACTCAAATAGAAAGCCATTGGAGGGTTCAGACTAAAGAAATGATCTGACTTACATTTTAACAGGTCAGTCTTTCTGCTGTAATGAGAAAAGACTGTAGGAGGGCAAGGATGCAAGCAGGGAGACCAATTAGGAAGCTTTAGCCCAGGAGAGGCATGATGGTGTCCTCTTCCAGGAAGGAAATGTAAAGATGTTATGTGCTGGTCATATTCCAAATATGTTTTGAAGGTAAAGATGAAACGTTTGTTGATTAATAAACTTGATTACTGCTAGAAAATGAGATAAAAGTTGGAAAAGTTTACAGCAAAAATAGATTCTTTAGGAGAAGAACAGTAGTTTAATTTTTGATGTTTTAATTCATCATGTCCATTGGATTTCCAAGTGGAAAAGTCAGACAGACCCTAAGGACCTTTTCTGAATCCACTGAGTCTGAGCGAGTCAGTGTCTGTAGATGGTCCATCGACTGAGATCGACAAGTCACTTGTTCTCTCTGTGTTGTACTCCTTTGGTCACTCAAGACTGGCCTAGAAATCATTCGTTAGAGCGTCATCTTGTGTCCTTCGCTTCTCTGCAAAAACTGCATGGCACTTCCTGAATAGTATTGTACATGCCTGTTGACTGGCCATCTCCCGAATTTTACTGCAAGTTTCTTTTGGAAAGGGACTGTAGTGCATAAGTGATTCTCGAGTGAAAGAATAAAAAACCTTTGCATTTAAGATAAAGTCTAAGTACTCTGTCTCTTTCTATCTTGCCTCCTGCTACTCTTCCCTTTGTTTTCCTTAAAGACGTACCACATTCTTGACTCTTTTTAAGTCTCCTGGCTTTCTGAAAATGACATTTTCCCTCTTAAAATGCCTTTCTCCCTCATTTCTGATCAAGTTCTGGTCTAAATGCTAAATGTACCCAGCACTCACCAGTATATCAGACACTTAGTGGGCCCTTTATAAGATGTTTCGAATACATGCAAATAAAATGCTCCATCTACTTGCATTGTTGATTAGTTGCTAAGTTGTGTCCTACTCTTTTGAGACCCCATGGACTGTAGCCCGCCAGGATCCTCTGTCCATGGGATTTCCCAGGCAAGAACACTGGAGTGGGTTGTCATGTCCTCCTGCAGGGAATCTTTCCAACCCAGGGATTGAAACTACATCTCCGGTTTCTCCTATATTGGCAGGCAGATTTTTTACCACTGAGCAACTGGTATTGTCATCAAATGTGGATGATACAATGTATTTCTGATTGTTTTCATTGAATAAAACCATAACACTTTTTTGATAAAAATGCTTTAAGCTCTTTTATCTTATAATTGGGAAAATATAAGTTTATGGACTAAGAATCAGTCTCCTGTTTCTATAGCAGCATCTATTTTATAAGTGTGTAAATATTTTCCCTTTTATGTAGAAAACATGTACTTTCCAGAACTAGATCACCCATAGAGAATGTTCCATTTTATTCTTCACTATTTTAGCATATGATGTAAAAGCATATCCAAAATGTATATGCATTTCTGAGAAACCATAAGAGCAACTTTTTCGATGTGTTTTATCAAAATTAGAATTTTAATAAACTCTAATAAAGATTATGTTAACCACTAACTTGGAAAATTTATGCATCAGTGAACAATCATTTTAAAATTTAATGTTATTTTATCTTACAACTCTTTTTTTTTGTTGTTGAGATAAGTCCAATATAAATACCTCATAAAATTCTCTGAAGATTTTCAAATCAATAATGTTTTGAGTATATTATTTATACTAACCAAATGTTAGCACTTTTTCTTATTTAAAAAATATTTATAAAATTAAATACAACTGTTCCCAAATTTATTTAAAGAAGCTGTAGCTATAGAAATCTAGAAAATACTAAGCATCTCTCTTTCATAAGTAGCAAAGACTATTTACGAAATTAAATATCATTGTCATTTAATTTAGTTGTTTGAGCATGTAACAGAGTGAAACTTGTCAACTGAATCAATTTAAATATATTTTATCTCTCCTCTACAATTGCTGAATTCTTTTCTTTGTATGGACTCCTTACTTAATAAGAATTTGTTAATCATATAATTAGAAGCAATAAATACTTGGAAGCAGGAGAAGGGACTAGATCCTTATTCCTCTTAAGAGTTTCTCTCAAGAACCTCTCCATGGAGACATGACAATATGAAATTATCTGGTCTATTATTTTATACTGCTTTTGTAACAGTAACTAATAAATACCATTTTCAGTGCTGTGTGTGTGTGCTCAGTTGCTCAGTTTTGTCCTACTCTTTCTGACCCTTCGGACTGTACCCTGCCATCTCCTCTGTCCATGAGATTTTTCCGGACAAGAATACTGGAGTGGGTTGCCATTTCCTCCTCCAGGGGATCTTCCTGTGGTTCCTGCAGGGATCGAACCTGTGGCTCCTGCATTGCAGGCAGATTCTTTACCGCTGAGCCTCTGGGGAAACCCCTATCATTTTCAAAAGCTATGTAAAATTTTTAGAATATGGAAGAAAAAACATAATTTTTCTATAAGTTTCTGAAATCCTAGTATAAGAATTAGCCAAAAATTAAAATACTGCACTTTGCTACTGCTGTTATAAAAGTGTTTTTTGAAAAATCTGTTTGTGTTAATGAAATATATTCAATAGAAGATTAATCTACAAAATTTTTTAATAATTTTAATATTTTAAATTATTAACATGCTTTTGTTAAAAGAAACATACATTTAAAATATATCCTTCAATTAATCCCCTGACACTGTAAATATGGCTTACAAATCTCTTAAGAATACAAGAAAAGGAAAAAAAGAAATGGAAAATTTTCATAATAAAGTCATTTTAGAAGGGGTAAAAATTCTGTGCATTCTGTATAACCCATACTCTGGAATATAGGTAATAGAATATAAATATTTATCAATAAAATGTATGTCTTCAAACAAACATATATTTCATTGAAGCATTCATTTTGAAAGTTTATGAGGTTAAATTTAGGAAAATTAAATCTCAGCATATTATTAAGAAAGATAGATAGATGAACCATACAAAACAAAATTTATTCAAACTTTCTATAGTGATAGAACTTGAGTGTTTTTTTCTAATTTCCTTTCAAATTCTCTTTTCCAGTTAAAATTTTCAAAGGATTGAGAGAATTATCACTAAAACTTCTTTTCAAAGAAATAGCACATAATTTAATGAACAAAAATTTGATCATTAAGTTTTTCAAACCAAAATTTATCTTAATATGTATATTAACCATATTATTGGCAGAAGATGATATTCATCAATCTGTAGACATGATTATAACATCTGAAGGAATTCTTGAACAGGTGCTTAATACAATCTGGCGAATTGTACTACTACATTTTGTACTGACAATTTTCAGTGGTATTGTAAAGATCAAGCACCTCTTTGTTTGCATACGTCTACCAGAGGATTTGTACTTCTTAATATATATAAAAATGCCATGGTTTGCTGGTTTCTATTTATTTTACATATTTGCCATGTGTTTATTTCATTTATATGTATCTAGTTTGTTATGAAAATTATCTCTTGAAATTATTTTCTCAGTTTAATCTCTTGGCATTTGGAGTTATCATATACAAAGTTTTTCGTCACACTGCAGAGTTGAAACGAGAAGTTAGTTGCTATGAGAACATAAGGTAAGTATTTCTTCAACTGTATTTTCTTTAGCAATTCAAAGCTTTCGTAACTTAAAGTGCAAGTAGTTTCTGGAAGGCAGTTTTTAAATTATTTTTTCACACTTTCTCCCATCATATTTAAAATAGTTACTGCTAAATAGCACTTAATATGTTTAATAAGCCTGTAATCACCACAGATCAAATGATAAGTAATCTTTTTTGAACATACTCCCCTTTGGGGAAAAAAAAGATAATGACTACATTTTAAGACAAAAGTCGGCCTTAGGATCTGCTTCTGCAAAGCAGTTCTCAGACTTAGTAGCTGTTTCTTTCTTATATTCCTAGTTTGCATGCAGCCATGATTTTTCCTCACCTCCTGCCCTTTAAAACTGATTTATTGAGTCTTTGAAAGTGGTTTGTTCAGGAAAAACTGAAGTGTACTGTAGGGAATTAGAAACAACTGAGGTTTGGGTCGCTTGGGAACACTTCTGTAGTTTCAATATCTTGCACAAGATTTATAGTTAGAATTTAGCAAATGTTTGATTACTTTCTTTTACTCCTCACCATTCATAGTAACATGTAGGTTGCTGGCTTTAATAAAGTTGAAAATGACTCATTTTCTGTGGTACACTGCAAAAATATCTTCTGCAGTAAAGAATGATTGCACTAAGAATGAATGAGAAAATAAGCATCAGTTGCCTCATTTTCAAGGCAGTGTCCTCAGTGAGCAGGATTGAATGTTGTTTTACCAAAACTCAGAGGTGGTAAGTTGAAAATACTTAAGAGAGTATGTTCCTATGGTTTTTTTTTTTTTAAGAAATCAGCATTCTAACATGAATTTACTTTGAAGTAACTGTATTGCAAACTGCCCCCCCCCAAAAAAAATGTTGCTTTATATCTTACATGTTCTTCTCTACTGAACCTAAAAGGAAAGCAGAAGCTTCCTTTGATGTCCTGCCTATGTGCTGACCTAAATCCACATGGTATATTTTTCAAGGTTAGGGAGAATACTTCTTAACAGCTATATGTCTTAGCTCCAGAAGTTCCTGCAACATTAGTTTTGAAATCAAAGCATACACACTATAGTATACCAGATGAGCATATTTTAAGATTAAGGAAATTTCTCAAAAACTACCAGATTTTAATAATGCTGCCTTGAATTTGGACACGTGTCCCAGCCACAGTGCACTGGTATACCCTAGCCGGTCCCATGTAACTATGGCAGAGTTGATCAGTTTCAAAATTCTGTTGGTCTTAACCAAAGATTTCTGGGTTATTCCAACTTCCTACAAAATTTAAGGGATTTGAGGGTGTGTTGCGTCTTCATAGCTTTCTCAGCTGGAACATTGCACATTTCTTCCAGGTCTTGTGCCCGAGGAGCGCTTGCACTCCTCTTCCTCCTTGGCACCACCTGGATCTTCGGCGTTCTCCACGTTGTGCACGCATCGGTGGTGACAGCTTATCTCTTCACCATCAGCAATGCGTTCCAGGGGATGTTCATCTTCTTATTCTTGTGTATCTTATCTAGAAAGGTAAATAAGCTGCTATCCTCGTCCACCTTCTTGTATAGGTATGTCGCATCAGTTAGCAAATTGATAAAAATCCTCATTCTAATAAATTTATGACTTGTGCCTTTATTGCCTAAATGCAGTACATCTTAGCATTGAAATAATCAGGACACATATTGTTGATAGCAAAATGTGCTTTTAAAAACTTGCTAGTAGGAATATAAATAGTATAGCTTATATTCACTTGAGTGTATTCTGACAGATAATCGGAAAGCAACAATAATCTATAAAACCAAATATAAGGTTAATGTGATTTGAAAATAATTTGATGTGATTGTTGCAATTATGTTTCACATTTCTTACTTTATTTTTTTTCTTTTTTTTTAGATCCAAGAAGAATATTACAGATTATTCAAAAATGTCCCTTGTTGTTTCGGATGTTTGAGGTAAACAGAACTATGGATAATTATTGTTATGCAGAAATAAAAATACCCAACTGCAGATGGCCAGTGTATAAAAATGATTCAAACAGATTGTCCAATTATTAATTACTAGGTAATCAAATATTTTAAATCCATTTTTATGTTTACTGTGTAGAAACTTTAGATAATACAAGATAAAATTATGTACCATATAGCTATAGTAAGCTTTTCTACATGACTTACTTAGCTATGTCGAAAACAGTATTGCAGATATTTGGAAAGTAATTAGTTTTTCAGAATTATAGCACTGCACCCAAGCAAAGATTTTCTTTCTAACACAAAAAATGAATGAATGTCCTGAAGGAAACCACTGGCTTGATATTTTTGTGACTTGTGTTGCCTTTGAAACTAGTTCTCTATCACCTTGGTAATGAGCTCTGTTACAGAAAGTGGAACATAAGAGAATGAAGGGGTAGAATATGAAACAATAAAAAGAGAGTGATTGTTATAACAGTGAGATGTATTTTGAGCAGACTTGTTGTTTAGTAAACTAGATGAGAATTGAATAAACACATCTTACAATTCTATGAGTTGTTCTGAACTTAAAGTTTTACTAAAACAACTTAGACTTGTACTTTTTACATCAATTTTCTATCCCTATAGAAAACACAAAACTTCACAAAAGAAAAAACTAAACATTTCTGTTCTGTTTTTAATGTTAATATTAGAATGAAGTATATGCTCTTTCTATACTTATTTCACAGATTGTGACTTCAAATGCTTATTCAGAAGTACATAAATGTGTCAAAATAGAATATTGTTCATGCCTGTAAATGTAAAAATCATGTATATAAACCTGAAGTATTCAATTCCATAACATTTCAGTGCAGTGAAAAATACTATATCTCATTAGACTCATATATTTGAGTTATTTTTTTTAATTTTAGAAATATTATAGTTCACATTGCAATATTCCCTTTTAACTTACTATTTTTAAAAGGGCACTGTAAATATGAAAGTATTCATAAAGTGAATTGCTATTTTTTTCTGTTCAGAAAAGTACACATTAAAAATGTTATTTATAACAAAGAGATCACTGAGAACTGTATAAACTTCCACAGAGAATATATTTTCTGACAGTTTTCCACTAGTAAAACATATCTCCTAAAATATAAGTCTTCTACCTTCCAATCTTCAAATTAAAATATAGAAGCAGGGATTTTATTTCAAAATATATGTAATTGTTCTGCACTTACCTGTAAAAGTATGCCAATATACCAAATGTTGTGATTTTAACTTAATTTCTCCAGCTGTTAAAATGAAGTCTGTCAAATCTTGCTCTAGCAAATAAAATGTTATCTAAATGAATCCTTGTACTGCTTGGCTGAGTCATTTGTCAAGAAAGATAAGCTACCTCCCAATGTCTCAAACATTTTTAGAAGATCTGTGATAATAACATTTTATTTGATCTTTTGATCTCTTATATGGTTAGCCTATAACCTGTTATTCAGTTCAGTTCAGTTCAGTCACTCAGTCGTGTCTGACTCTTTGAGACCCCATGAACCGCAGCACGCCAGGCCTCCCTATCCATCACCAACTCCCGGAGTCCACCCAAACCCATATCCATTGAGTCGGTGATGCCATCCAACCATCTCATCCTCTGTCGTCCCCTTCTCCTCCTGCGCTCAATCTTTCCTAGCATCTGGGTCTTTTCCAATGAGTCAGCTCTATTATCATTACAGTTATCACTGTAGGACAGTGCTATTGGAATATGATACTGAAAAAGTAATCAGTTCAATCAGTGTATACAATTTATGTGTGGTGGGCAGAATAATGGTCCTCCCAAAATGCCCACATCCAAATCTTAAGAATACATGAATATGTTAGGTTACATGGAGAGAAGAATTAACCAGCTAACAGCTTATCAGCTAACCTTGGCATGGGGAAATTATCCTGGATTATCCAAGTGGGCCCCATGTAATTACAAGTTTCCTTATAAATGAAAGATGGAAGCAGAAGAGGGAGCCAGTCAAAGCAATGCAACATGAGTCATGCTCAGCCACACATTGCTGGTGTTGGAAATACAAGCAGTCCAGGAACCACAACATGGAGGTAGGCAGCCTATAAGCTGCAAAAGACAAGAACATGGACTCTCCCCTAGACCTTCTAGAAGGGAGCCAGCCCTGGTGAACCTTCATTTTAGCCTAGAGAAACTCAATTCCAACTTCTAATCTCCAGAACTGTAAAATAATAAATGCCACTCAACAACATCCATTGTCACAAGTGCTTGGTTTACTGAGGACATTATCATCAATCAAGAGCAGATATAATTCAGAGAGGCTATGAAACAGGAAAACAAAAGTGAAGGTCTACGTTGGGTTTTTTTTTTGTTTATATCCTAGGAATAAATGTGCTGCTTGTGAATCAAATAAAAAGAAAATAATAAATGTATATTATTTTAAGCCACCAAGTTTGTTGATAATTTGTCACAAGTTTGTTGATAATTTTCATAATTTTTCAAAGCAACTATAGGAAGCTAATATGGAAATATGTATGTGATGACATCTTTAGAGCTAAGTGAGTATTTATATCATTAGAAAAACCTTAAATTCTGTATCTTGTTTTCATCACCCCTCTCATAGACATCACTGGATGAAGCCTCTCTTCTTTAGCAGGAGATTTCATATCTGCTTACTTACCTTTTTATTAGATAGGTAAGGATCTCTTTTTTTTAAATGGGTGTGTGCACATGTATACATGTATGTTTATTGCATTAAATGCCTCATAGCATTTTCCCCTTGTTTTTATAATTCAAACTAAAAAGGATTCAAAAAAGTTTTTCACTGTGCTGTTTTTAAAATACAAACATGAACATTACAATGACAGGAAAGTGTTAAGATGCTGAATTCAAAAGGACATACAAAGGATATACAAAAGTACATACAACTGCTGGCAACACACTTTGGACTTGCAGTGAAGCCCTGTCTCCTGAGGCCTCAGCAAGACCCAGGGTGACCCGCTGTCAGAGGGCTCACCCGCATCCCAGAGTGACACTGCCCCATGTCATGGACATCACCCATGCCTCCAGATTCCCACACACCACACACTTAATTAACATAAGAAAAAAAACTTTAAAACCACTCAAAGTCTGTGAGATAAAGACAGCCTGCCTCCCTGGTTTTCACATTTGCCCTGTGAGTTTCTTCAGTTTTTTCCCAAGACTTTCTATAGTTTACCAAATCCCAAATTCCTGGAGCTTCCTCATTGTTATCATCATCATTCTGACAAACATCTGCTTATCTCTCATGTGTCTTTCTCTATGAGGCCTTTCTGGGTTCACACAAGGAATTTATCACTTCCACCTTTATGGCACTACTCTATCTACCACTTACCTATTTTAACATTTATCATGTTGTATTGCAGTTATTTAGTCCAAGCTCAAGATATTCATTATACCAAGTTTTGTTCTTCCTTTAAGGCACCTTCTCTTTTTTGCTTCATGAAGCAATGGTACAGCTTTATTCTGTTTTGTGACTACGTGGTTGGTGGGACAAGAGTCTGGACCCTCCAAACAGTCTGGCTTTGGCTATTTTGCTTTACCTATCCCATTTTCAAAGCCCATTGGATGAGCCAGCTTTCTCAGGTAAAGCCCTCCACGCCTATCTCTAAATGTCATTAGGTGGAAAACAATGCCCAGCAATCTCAAATTGGTGAAGTGGAACAGGCAGAGGAATTAGGCTACCAGTGTAGCCTTAAGTTCACAGTATGGCTTTAACTGTTTTTCCAGGGAAGATCTTTGGGAGTTTGTAAGAAGCTTGCCAAATGACTAAGTAATGCTTTGTTTTCCATTTGGCAGTTATTCCTCATGTATCAATTCTTTGGGCTCCCTGATGGCCCAGTGGGTAAAGAATCTGCCTGGGATCCACCCAGGGATCCCAATGCAGGTTTGATCCCTGGGTCCAGAAGATCTCCTGGAGGAGGAAATGACAAACTACTCCAGTATTCTTGCCTGAAAAATCCCATGGACAGAGGAGCCTGGCAGGCTACAGTCCAAAGGGTTGCAAAGAGTCAGACACCTGAGCGGCTTAAGACACACACACATACACACAAATACATGCACACACACACACCACTTTTTCACTTGATGGTGAGAGGAATAAATACTAGGATTTGAGATTTAAATCTCTTCAACTTCTAAAATATATCACAAATTCATGAATAAATATTAATTTGCAAACTCTTTATTAGCAAATGGGGATAGAAGGTTTATAGTGTTTCAGGGGATTCAGTGAAAGAAATTAATACTTTAAGATGTGCCTCAAACAATGAGATGAATGGACACCAAAGAAGTATAAGATAAAATCCCTGACTGAGTAAAAACTTAACTATTAAGCAGAGACACTATAATCCCCTAATAAAAAAATCTGTTGATTGATTACACTGTGATCAGGGAAATATATATTTACACACAGCATAACAAAAAAATCTATGAGAAAGTCTATAAGCAAATACTTTACAATCTTCATGCTAGGCATAACCAACAAACTATATATACTCCTTTGATGATGGCATCATTTTTTCAGCCCTTTTTAATTCAGTGCCCCCAAGTTAAACAATAACCCTGCACTTCTTAATTTTCCATGTATTTAAAGTTATTACATCCACCTTTAATGATATAAAATGTGAGCTTTTTCTCTGTATCAAGATTATTCTCTAATTTTTCCATCATGAAACCTTTGAGGAGAGCATGCATTATTGAGTTAGTATTGATCCAGAAAGATAACCTGTTGCTCAGATTTTTCTGCTACCTAGAATGTCTTCTCCCATGCACATTCTAGTATGAAGCCTCTCAGATTAATTAATTTAGTTCTTATTAATTTCCCCAGTCACTACAACTATAGCACTAGCAAGGTGTACAGAATAAGTTAGCACTTAATAGAGGTTGTTAAGATATTACTGTGTTCAAACTTAAAGCCTTCAAGTTTTAGACTACAGATATAAGAGAATTAACCCAGAAATGGCATAGAAAGGGGAAGAATGGAGTTTTTCCTGAAATTTTATTTCAGTTTGTTAAGTTTCACATCTCATTTAATTCTTACAGTAACATATGCAATTTTGTCATCATTTTTCAAAGTGAAAAGTGTTCAGTCACACAGCTAGGAAATTGCAAATTTAGCGTTTAAACTGAAAGTCATGGCTCCTTCTCCTTCCCCATGGAAACTCTGAGGAACTTGTTCAGATGTTCTCAGATAGGAAGTCTAAGTGGTTGGATTCTTACCCAAGTTTCTGCCTCTCAGTCTAGAGCATATTCCACTGTTTCATAGCTATAGACTCATATAGTGCAAGGATAATATCCCTGTTTACAATTATGTTCTTTTGGGTATGGAGGAGTGTGACATACTTTTTAAACATGTATTTTCTACATGCATATGCAATTTGAAGTGTGTATTTGATATGTTTTAAGATGAAGTATTTTTCTTCTTTTCTCTTTGCTGCCCTTTCTCTGCGCACTTATTCCTATCCTCCCATCCCCACTTACACTCTCTACTAGGCCATTTATTTTAACTACCTGGTATGTATTCTTCCATTTTTTTCTTCCTGTCCGTAGCATCATATCCAAATGGTTGTATGAAATCACATTTTTAAAATACCTCTTATCACATGGAGACCTAATGTATGTATTTCATTCATTCCTTTTAAATGATGAATAATATTTCATATTAAGGATGGACCATAAATTTCACAGCTGATATGTAATCTGGATTAATGCAGTAATACTTTGGGAGACTTCAGTATCTTTCAGGAGTAATTGTCTCCATGCTATGTGGCTTGGTTTTATTGTTAAAAATACCAAATGTTAAGTTATTTTTTTCCTTATGATGGATGTGGACACATGTTGATAAACCAAAGCACTATAACCCTTTTGTTGATATAGAGGTTGTTTATTTCTTGCAACTATTCAGTGAAAATCATGCCATGTGTTTGAGATCCACAAAGCTCCTTGAGCATTTTCATTTAAGTGAAAAGGGTTTGAATTATTTACCCTAGATAGAAAGCTTGAACAAGCATTTTGATCAGTAGGCAATCTGAAAGTGCAGAACAGTTTGCTTATTATTCCATTCAAACCTTATACATCATAGGTTTGTATGGTAGTTATGATTAATATAAAATGAGAGGGTTGGTTAGTTGCAATGGATCTCTTTCAGTGCCAGTGTATCACAATTCTAATATCAACCCCCCACCACTTTGAGGCATTGTAAATAATAAAATTTAAAAAGTATATTACAATTTTATACACTCAAAAATAAGGAGAAAAATAATAGGTTTATTGCAAAATCGTTCTTCAGGAATATGGTTTCATTTCCTATTGGGCTGCAATTTGCCATATATCAGCATACAAGGGCCAGGCTGCTCAACCTGAAAATGATTATTTTCTTTCTTTTTCTTAATGTATTGGAAGTGGATCTAAAAGAACCTCCAGTATACAGGGGGGTTAATTATCCCGGCAGTCAGTTAAGCTTTATAAGTTTTAGGTGATAAGAACAGAGCCCTAAGAAAGATTCCCCGCTAGTGCTGCCTGCTGTGAAGAAAGAGCATTGTGCTGCCACTACTGCAAATATTGTTCAAATTACCCTAAAATTCCCCCTGGTTTTCTGTGCATCAGGCTCCTGGAGAGCGGCACTGCTCCAGTGAGGTCATTTATTCTGTCACTTCAGCCCACTCAGTAATCATGACAACTACATCTTTCACTCAATCTAGTTCAGGAGGCTTTCCTGCAAGACCTTCTATGACCTGAGTGAGGAAAGTAATTATTCAAAACAACATCTCTTCTTGTTTCTCAAGTGCCACCCACTCCTCTGCAGAATCACCTAAATGCTCCCTAATTTGATCTTCCTTCTAAGATCTATCTCTCAGATTCTCCTAAAGGAACATGTAAATAAACAGCCACCTCTCATATCTTAGAACTTTACTTTCAGAGAGGCAGCGTGGTTTGGTAGGTCACTCTACAGTCAGAAATTTCTTTTCTACCTACAGTGAGAAATGAGGTCTCAGGCCAGTTATTCCCTGTAACTCAGTTTCTCGTGTCGGAAAAGAAGATAACAATAAAATCTACTTCATCACATTTCTGTCACAATTCAATCAACTAGTATATGGAAGATAGTTACTACAGTGCTTAGCAATACAGCAAGTGATATCAATGGTAATAGATTAGCTATGATTATTTCCATTGGGTGAACAGCTATTGACTATGCACCTTAAGTGTCAGGGACTGTTACAGGTATGTGGTGGAATTCACTAAAGAAAACCAAAATAATAATTTTTTTTAAAAGACGTGCATTTATTGTATAAAGTGAGGATTTCCATGTTATTGATTTATCAACAACTTATGTCTGAAACAGCTGAGGAAACAGTAAAAATAAAAATCAGTGATCATGAAGTCAAATTGTAGGTTCACTTTATTTTCTACCACCTCCCAACCTATACTCCATCTCTACCCTGCCTCATTCAGAATGTCAAATTTCACTGCCTTCCACTGTAAAACTAGTAGAATGTCAGAGAGAATGTTAAATGTTCAACATTGCTGACACACCCGTTGGAGTAGGGGTGCAGCCAAAGCCCCATCACTGCTCCGAACAAATAAAATCCTTGCCCCTGCAAGGCTAAATGTCCTACAATTTAATTAAAATGGTTTACTTACACAAAGGTGCCTTGATATACTTTTATTTAAATATACGTACTGTGAGCATTACCCCTGGAGAAAGAAATGGGAACCCACTCCAGTATTGTTGCCAGGAGAAACCATGGACAGAGAAGCTTGGCGGGCTACAGTCTATGGGGTTGTAAAGAGTTGGGCATGATGCAGCAGTTGAACAACAAATATGAGCACTTACATGAACTTGAAAAATATAATATCTTCCTTAAACAGTACTTATAAGCGAAGATAACTTTGTTTTCTCAACTTTCCATATATTCCTAAAAAAGACCAAGAAATTCATACTGGCATCATTTGGGTGCTTCATCTCCTTTGTGCAGGACAATTTGCAGTAATTTCATTTGCTCTTACCTAATCTAAAACCGTGGATGTGAGAGTTGGACTATAAAGAAAGCTGAGCACTGAAGAATTGATGCTTTTGAACTGTAGTATTGGAGAAGACTCTTGAGAGTCCCTTGGACTGCAAGGAGATCCAACTAGTCCATCCTAAAGGAAATCAGTCCCGAATAGTCACTGGCAGGACTGATGCTGAAGCTGAAATGCCAATACTTTGTCCACCTGATGCAAAGAACTGACTCATTGGAAAAGATCCTGATGCTGGGAAAGACTGAAGGCGGGAGGAGAAGGGGACAACAGAAGATGAGATGGTTGGATGGACTGACTTGATAGACGTGAGTTTGAGTAAGCTCTGGGAGTTGGTGATGGACAGGGAAGCCTAGTGTGCTGCAGTCCATGGGGTTGCAGAGTCAGACACGACTGAGCAACTGAACTGAACTGAATGTAAAACCATAGAAGCCATGCTCTTTTAAAACACACTCTTGATTTCTTTAAAGACAAAAGCAAATGAGCTATTTTAATACTTGAGAAAAAAATAGAAAGGAATCTTCAGTAGAAAGGAAGAAATATTCTTTAATAAAGACTTGCTTATATGTAAAATGCATTTGTTTTTACCTATTTTTGTCCTATTTAAGTTTCCAGCATTGTTTCCTGAACAATAAGATGTCTTTGTTATTATATACGGGCAGTTTCTAGTTTCTATATTTAGTAAGCTAGATATTGCAAATTTTTGAGATAAATGAACCAGGAATTCTATTAGTTACTAATTTAAGAATTCGTGCATTTTGTTTTATCTGTCACCTTCACCTGCATACCTCATCATTCTGATGAAGAATGCCTCAGAGGTCAGAAACATAGTGCTTTATTCTTTTATGTGCTAAAGTATAAGACATGTTTAGCATTGTGTGATCTTTTTTCTCAAGTATATTTGCATGCATAGCTTGGAAGCTGAATAACCCTACATAAGCAAACATTTTTTTTTTTTTTACTTGTTGAGACAAGTAGAGGATGAGACTTGCTCTTGCTCATCAAACCTCTATTTTCTTGAGAAGCAAGAGTATAATGTTATTTCTTAGTATCCTTCTGTTTTCTTTACAAATCTCAGAAAAGGTAATTGAATTAATATGTACTCTTGCACTTGGACAAAATGTGATTTTATACATGAAGCATTATGTACATTCACCTTTCTTATGAAATAAATATACCAACTAGATATTACTAATGCAAAACACATAAAAGAATTGAATCAAAGCAGAAATAAGGGTACAGCCATAAAATGGAGTTAAAACGAGTGCTTTATTCATCCAGGTTCTGGCCTGTTACCTGTTGCTTATGTAACCACATCATTCCAAAACCTGGTGCCTTAGAAAAATAATTTATTATCATTTCTCACATTTTTGCTGGTTAATTGGGCTTCAGAGGGTACCTTTCACCCAGCGTTTCTCATGAAGATACAGTCAGATATCCACTGGTGCTACAGCCATCTGACTTGGCCACCCACTACCATCTCCACAAGGGCTGCCAGCCAAGCATCATTCATGGTCTGTCCATGTTATTTGGGTTTTTCACATAGCATGGACTCTGGGATCCTTGTGGCAGCATCTCCAAAGCAAACATTCCAACAGTCCCTGGTAAAGACTGAAAGGCGTCTTACCACCTGGCCTCTAAAGGTATAAAGTTCACTTCTACCAAAGTGGTCCACCCAGATTTAAGGGGTTGGAGAAACAGATCCATCTTTTAATGGAGTGACAAAGTCACATACATAAAAGCATATGGAATAGGGAAATATTATTGAGGTCATTTTGGGAAACTATAATCTGCCATGACTTTTATGCTCTTGCTAATATCTACGTGCTGAGTTTCCCTGGTAGCTCAGCTGATAAAGAATTCACCTGCAATGCAGGAGACTCCAGTTCAATTCCTGGGTCAGGAAGATCCAGTGGAGAAGGGATAGGCTAACCACTCCAGTTTTCTTGGGCTTCCCTGGATGCCTCAGCTGGTAAAGAATCCACCTGGAATGCATGAGACCTGGGTTCAACTCCTGGGTTGGGAAGATCCCCAGGTTGGGAAGATTCCCTGAAGAAGGGAAAGGCTACACACTCCAGTATTCTGGCCTGGAGAATTGCATGGACTGTTTAGTCAATGGGATCACAAAGACTTGGACATGACTGAGAGACTTTCACTTTCATGTATTACAATAATATCTTTTCATTAGACAAAGCAATGAATTCAATAGGATTGCTTCCTGAAATATCCCTGAGTATAATCTGATGAAGTCACACCCAACAACAATCCATTAAGAGCAATAAAAGCCATAAAAGTACCAAATGATATGACTCAGATAACTATGTTTTGTTATTATATCTGAATCCAGATACTATACTTGAGCCATGAAATTCCAGATGTTCAAACTGGATTTAGAAAAGGCAGAGGAACCAGAGATCAAATTGCCAATATTTGCCAGATCATTGAAAAAGCAAGAGAGTTCCAGAAAAACATCCACTTCTACTTTATTGACCTCCCCAAAACCTTCGACTGTGTGGATCACAACAAACTGTGGAAAATTCTTCAAGAGATGGGAATATGATACTACCTTACCTGCTTCCTGAGAAATCTGTATGTAGGTCAAGAAGCAACAGTTAGAACTGGACATGTAACAGAAGACTGGTTCCAAGTCGGTAAAGGAGTGTATCAAGATTGTATATTGTCACCCTGCTTATTTAACTTTATTGCAGAGTACATCATGTAAAATGCCAGGCTGGATGAAGCACATGCTAGAATCAAGATTGCAGGGAGAAATATCAATAACCTCAGACAACAGAGGATGAGATGGTTGGATGGTATCACCAACTCAATGGACTTAAGTTTGAGTAAGCTCTAGGAGTTTACGATGGACAGGGAAGCCTGGTATACTGCAGTCCATGGGATCTCAAAGAGTCAGACACGACTGAGCAACTGAACTGAACTGAACTGAAACCAGAGGTAGATTTAAAAATCCATGTCTATATCAGTATTTCCCATATTGTATCCTAGTGTTCCAAATATGAGTATTTGAGTATTCTGATAAAAGTTAATAGTATCTTATTTGAAAAAATAAAATAATATAGGTATTCCATAAGTAAAAAATTTTGAAAAAGCCTACATAGTTCACCCATAACCATTAACCAGCTCTACCACTGACCAAGTCAGCCTGTCAATTCTTTTTAAATATATGAATTACTGCTGTTTAAAAAAAAAAAACATACTCTCCAAAGAAGACATACAGATGGCTAATAAACACATGAAAAGATGCTCAACATCATTCATTATCAGAGAAATGCAAATCAAAACCACAATGAGGTACCATTACATGCCAGTCAGAATGGCTGCTAACCAAACGTCTACAAGTAATAAATGCTGGAGAGGGTGTGGAGAAAAGGGAACCGTCTTACACTGTTGGTGGGAATGCAAATTAGTACAGCCACTGTGGAGAACAATGTGGAGATTCCATGAAAAACTGGAAATAGAACTGCCATATGACCCAGCAATCCCACTCCTGGGTATACACACCGAGGAAACCAGATCTGAAAGAGACACGTGCACCCCAATGTTCACTGCAGCACTGTTTATAATAGCCAGGACATGTAAGCAACCTAGATGCCCATCAGCAGACGAATGGATAAGGAAGCTGTGGTACATATACACCATGGAATATTACTCAGCCATTAAAAAGAATTCATTTGAATCAGTTCTAATGAGGTGGATGAAACTGGAGCCCATTATACAGAGTGAAGTAAGCAGTAAGCCAGAAAGATGAACACTAATACAGTATACTAATGCATGTATATGGAATTTAGAAAGATGGTAATGATAACCCTATATGCAAGACAGAAAAAGAGACACAGATGTATAGAACAGACTTTTGGACTCTATGGGAGAAGGCGAGGGTGGGATGATCTGAGAGAGTAGCATTGAAGCATATATATTATCAAGTGTGAAACAGATCACCAGTCCAGGTTGGATGCGTGAGACAAGTGCTCAGGGCTGGTGCACTGGGATGACCCAGAGGGATGGGATGGGGAGGGAGGTGGGAGGGGGGTTCAGGATGGGGAACACATGTAAATCCATGGCTGATTCATGTCAATGTATGGCAAAACCCACTACAGTATTATAAAGTAATTAGCCTCCAACTAATAAAAACAAATGAAAAATTAAAAAAACACACACATAAACAAAAATGTTGATTTATGCTTAACATAGTTTCCCATACTTTTTTTTTAAAATAGGGTATAGTTATTCAGAGTTGTTTTAGGGTTTTCCAATGAACTGGCTCTTTGCATCAGGTGGCCAGAGTATTGAAGTTTCAGCCTCAGTCCTTCCAATGAATATTCAGGGTTGATTTCCTTTAGGACTAACTGGTTTGATCTCCTTGAAGTCCAAGGGATTCTCAACAGTCTTCTCCAGCACCACAATCAAAAGCATGAGTTCTTCAGCACTCAGTCTTCTTTATGGTCCAACTCTCACATCCATACAAGACCACTGGAAAAACCGTAACTTTGACTATAGGAACCTTGTCTGCAAGGTGATGTCTCTGCTTTTTAACATGCTGTCCAAGTTGGTCATAGCTTTCCTTCCAAGGAGTAAGCATCTTTTAATTTCATGGCAGCGGTCACTGTCTGAAGTGATTTTGGAGCCCCCAAAAATAAATTCTGTCACTTCTTCACATTTCCCCTCTATTTGCCATGAAGTGATGGGACTGTATGCCATAGTTTTGTTTTGTTTTGTTTTTAAATGTTGAGTTTTAAGCCAGCTTTTTCAGTCATGCAGGAGATGCAAGAGATGTGAGTTTGGTCCCTGGGTCAGGGAGATCCCCTGGAGGAGGAAATGACGAACCACTCCAGTGTTCTTTCCTTCAAAACTCTACGAACAGAGAAGCCTGAAGAGCTACAAGAGCTACAGTTCATGGGCTGGAGAGAGTTGGACATGACAGAGTGACTGACCATACACACATGTTTTTCTGTGAAAACAATAACAAAAGATTCAGTAGCTTTATTAAGTAACAAACCAAGGGCATATATTATTTATGCAATGTTACAAATGATTGGGTAATTGAGAGCCCAGACAACTCCCTACCTGTGGTGCAGTGAGAATTAAAGTTCTCCCTGGCCAATATACAAACAAATATCAAGCTAAATGAACTTTACAAATACATTGATCTTAATACTAAATTTCAAGGTTCTAAGTGTAAAATCCAAAGTCAGTGTGAAACCTACACATATTTTTCTTTCACTTACTTGATAATTTTCATAGAAGTTTCAAGTTTAGAACATACTTAAAAATATCTAGCTCTCAAAAAAAAAGCTATTATCCTAAAATTTAGATGAATATGTTTTCTTTTTGCAAGATGGCACATAAGTTATTTTTTATTAGTCACAATTATCATTCTAAATTTAATCATTGTGTAACTAGTTACAATGTAGTATTTTCTAAGCTAATGTGAATTAACTAATATTTAGTAAGTAAATGAATGCATATTCAAGTATTTTTATTAAAGTATAGTTGATTTTAAATGTTGTTTTCATTTCTGCTGTACAAGAAAGTGATTCAGCTATACATATATGTATTTTTTTCTTACATTCTTTTCTGTTACGGTTTATCATAAGATATTGAATATAGTTATGGTGCTATACAGTAGGACCTTGTTGTTTACCCATATTCAAGTATTTTTAAGGTTATATAATCATATCCAGTTCTAGCTCTGCTTTAGGCAGTTGATGCTATTTACAGAATAATATTTCTACATAGTTCTCTGACTAGAGAGAAGACAAATATGTAATATGAGAAAAGTTAGGAAGTTTACATATACAAGGAATCTATTTCAAAAGTTTGATATATTTACTGAGACCAAACTTAACCTATGTCCTATTTTCTCTTTCCATGACAACCTGAGTCAAAAAGATATGACCTGAAACAGATTGTACACTAAGATTTCATTTCATCTCACCCAGATCAAGTTGTGGAGCTTTTTCAAAATGACAGATTCAAAAATAAAATGGGTGCTACCCAAGACATTAAAGAACTTTTGAGTCTCTGATTCACTATGATGGTTTACAAAAGAGAAAGGGCAGTAATGAAGTTGTGTTTAAGTAAAAATGAATTTATGAATTAGAAAGGAAATTAAAGACATTTTTTAAAGGAAAGTAATTTGCAAGGCTATCTCCCCTGAAGATACACAAAATTCAAAAGGCATCTACCGAATATGAAAAGAGCAGTCAGTGATATCTTCCCTGTCTACCCTTTTAATGGGTGATTTGTATGCAATACTTCCAAGTGCAATGAGAGTATTACTGGCTACTGAATCAGACATAATCACCCGATAGATCGAAAAGGGGAAGCTGAAGATAATAGGGAAAGGGTGAAAAATCTGATGTTCAAAATGTGTTTTTCTCTGAAACCACCCAAGCAACACAGCTCATGAACACTGCACACATCATTACGAGGCCTTTGCCACAGCGTACATCTCTCATTTTTAAAGAGAAAATTACCACCACCAAAAAATTAGCCTGTTTCCTTTAGCCCTCTGCCTCTAATAAGCTAAATCTCAAAGTGAGCAATAATTGCCTTCTGGTGGCACTACAGGTACTAGCATATTTGAAATGAAGAACGCTATCTTGGCTTTAGTTAAATTCCTTTTTAAGAGGTGACATTCCAAAAGTATTGTATGCTAATGGAAACCAACGAAAAGATCTGTAGACAGTAACCTGATCACTGAAAAACAGACCCAAAAATTATTGATTTATAAGCAAGGGATGATAGCTAAATTTAAAAGAATTGCCTCCCTTATTGAAAGAATGCATCCCTGAGGGAAGAATATGTGAAACATTCTTGTTCCTACAGTGTTAAAGACAGACAACATCCTATAAAGATTAACATATAATAATACAAAAAACTGCAACAATTAAGTTATCTAAGTATAAAAATTGACCACTTTTAATATTTTCCTTATTAAAATGTTGGCTTTAAAATACTTAAACGTATTGTAATTTACAACCTTCTTTCTGCTAGGAAAGGAAAGACCTCAAGTTCTTCAAAAATCTGGTAAATATTGTCAGTACCATGTACATTTAAATTCTGTTTTATCTTTAAAATCCATATAATTTTGTGTCCTGTGTGATGTGTAATGAAGAATTAGCCTTACAAAAAAAAAAAAAGAATTAGCCTTACCCAAAGAGAGGTCTGAACTTTGCTCTCAACTCCTGGAAAGTGGTCTCAAGGTCCCTGGGGTGTGTGACCCAATGGGAGTGTCTTTGCTGGCCTAGGGGCTATGACCTTCACAGCCTATCCATGTGATTTATGGTGGGATATTTGGGCCACACCATATTACTGTGACCTCTAAAGGAACTGGAGGCTAAAGTGTTAGTTCAGTCTTCGAGGGAAGCTAGAGATTAAAGGTCAGCTGTGCAGGAAATACATAATCAAGACAATAAAAACTCTGGACACCAAAGGCTCTGGTGAGCTTCTGTCCATGGAATTTTCCAGGCAAGAATATTGGCATGGGTTGCCATTCCCTTCTCCAGGGATCTTCCTGACCCAGAGATGAAACCGTGGTCTCCTGCATTGGATTCAAATTCTTTACCATCAACACATAAATATAGCAACTGATTTTTTACAAAAACACAAGAGAATGTAATGGAGAAAAAATAATAACTTCAATAGAAATGCGTCCATATAAAAAAATATGAAGAGGATAGAGACTAAAGGTCTTACACATACATTAAAAAAAACTAAATTAGATCATAGACATAAATATAAAATGCTAAATTATAACCCTTTTGCAAGAAAACATAGAAAAAAAATCTATATAACCTAGAGTTTAGATATAACAAAAGTATAGTTTATGAAAGAAAAATTGATAAGTTCCACTTTTTTTTTTTAAAAATTAAGAATTCTTCTGCAATGACACTATCAAGAGAATATAATGACAAACCACACGCTGGGGAAAATATTTGCAAATCACATATCTGTTAAAGTATTTATACCCAAAATATACAAGAAGTCTAAAAGTCAACAATAAAAACCAAACAACACAGTTTAAAAATGGGAAAAAGATCTGGACACTTCACCAAACAAATATACTATGGCAAATAAGCATATGAAAACATACTCAACACCCTTTGTCATTAGAGAAATGCAAATTAAATCAACAATGAGATAGCACCACAGTCTGATCAGCAGAACTAAAATCTAAAAAAAAAAAAAAAAAATTACAATATCCATTGCTGACAAGAATGTAGGGCAACAGAAACTCATTCACTGCTAGTAGGAATGCAATGCCACCACTCCAGAAGACAGCTTGGCAATTTCTTACAAACTAAACACAGTCTTATCATATGATGCAGTAATCATGCTCCTAGATACTTATCCAACTGACTTGGAAATTAATGTCTACATACTATAGAAGCTTTATTCATAAAAACTAAAAATGTTAACAACCAAGGTGTCCTTCAATAGATAAATTAATAAACAAAGAGCAGGATATCCATGAAATGAAATGCCATTTGGTGATTAAAAGTAATGCACTATAAAGCCTGAAAAGACATGGATGAAGTTTAAATGCATATTACTAAGTGAAAGAAGGCAGTAGGAAAAAACTATATATAGTATAATTTCAGGTATATGACATTCTCAAAAAGTCAATATTTTAAAGACAATAGACAGATCAGTGGTTTGCCGGGAGAAGCGAGGAAGTAGATCTATACATGGGGAAATATTACAATACAATAGATTTTTTAATGCAGTGAAACTATCCTGTATGATACTGTAATAGAGGATACATGATACTGTGCATTTGTCAAAAAATATAGAAAGATACAGCAAAAAAGTAAATTCTGAAGTATGCAAATTTAAAAAATCACTTAGAAAGTTGAGGGATTCCAGAATGTAATGTGAAATGTGGCAAAAGAATATAACTCTACAGCAAACGTAAGATACATCCTCACTGAAAGAAGGTGGGGTGAAGAGTGCTAAGTGAAATAACTTTGGAAATGAGTAGTCTATAAGACTAAAGGGAAAAAAAAGAAATGTACATCTGTACTCTATTCTAATTGATAAAATTGTTTCTTGTGAGTGTATGGGTTAATAATTCTGAAATCACTATATATGTATACTAGAATTGAACAATTAAGTAAAACTTAGGTGGAAGCTGACAGCCAAATGTCTCACTTTTGGAGTGAAAATTTTCAGTTAAACAAGTGGGGGTGGTTAGAATGATATATAAGACAATGCATTAAAGTAGGTGGTATCAGCAGTCATCAAGACAGTATGGTACTGGCACAAAGACAGAAATATAGATCAATGGAACAGAATAGAAAGCCCAGAGATAAATCCACGAACCTATGGACACCTTATCTTCGACAAAGGAGGCAAGGATATACAATGGAAAAAAGATAACCTCTTTAACAAGTGGTGCTGGGAAAATTGGTCAACCACTTGTAAAAGAATGAAACTAGAACACTTTATAACAACATACACAAAAATAAACTCAAAATGGATTAAAGATCTAAATTTAAGACCAGAAACTTACATAGGAGAACATAGGCAAAACACTCTCTGACATAAATCACAGCAGGATCCTCTATGACCCACCTCCCAGAATATTGCAAATAAAAGCAGAAATAAACAAATGGGACCTAATGAAACTTAAAAGCTTTTGCACAACAAAGGAAACTAAAAGTAAGGTGAAAAGACAGCCCTCAGATTGGGAGAAAATAATAGCAAATGAAGCAACAGACAAAGGATTAATCTCAAAAATATACAAGCAACTCCTCCAGCTCAATTCCAGAAAAATAAATGACCCAATCAAAAAATGGGCCAAAGAACTAAATAGACATTTCTCCAAAGAAGACAGACAGATGGCTAACAAACACATGAAAAGATGCTCAACATCACTCATTATCAGAGAAATGCAAATCAAAACCACAATGAGGTACCATTACACACCAGTCAGGATGGCTGCTA